GGAAACGGTTTTCCGGGAGAAACCAGGATTTCTGAGTATATTGGAGTTTGGGGTAGGATGGAAGTACTTCAAATACCTTAAAAGATGAGCATTGGATAGAGCTCGTTGAGTTCTATCTCCCGATGTGATTTTCATTTTTCGGTCCCAGCGGCGGGTGAATGCCGGAGCGGTTTTTCTTGAAAAAGCAGGATTTCTGAGTATATGGGAGTTTTGAGGAGGATGGTAGTACCTGGAATACGTTAAAAGGTGAGCATTGGATAGAGCTCATCGAGTTCTATCTATCTATGTCATTTTCAAGTTTTAGTCCCAGCTGTGGGCGAATCGCCGCGCGTAGCACAACAGAATTCTGATTTTTTGGTTGTTTTTTGCAGTATTCTAGATTTTTCTCCAACTTGGAACGGTGCTGGAGCAATAGTAAATAATGCATCCGATAGAGCTCGTTGAGTTCTATGTTGGTCCGCAGAGTGTACTCTTTGGTCCCAACTGTGAGCGAATCCAGTTACGGAATACGCGAATCCAGGCCAAGGATATGGTACGTTAAAAATGAGTAGTTTCCGTCGAACTCTCGAGTGTCTGGGAAGATTTTTTGATAGTGTAACGGAGTCACATAAAAGAATCCTAAATTTGAAGTATTTGTTCTTAAGCCGTGATTTCCCGCAAAAGATGCTCTCCAAATAAAATTTCCGGAAGGGCAAATTTTGTAGAGCTTTTAACGAGCTTCACAATGGTACAAGTATTTGTCCTAACTTCTTTTCTTCACGTAATAAATGCAAAAAACAAACGTAACGGTGTGACAGTTTTTTTTCGAAAATTTATATGTTCTTTCTATTTTATGTGACTTTGTCTCAACACATTGTTTAAACGTTCCAAGAGACATTTCTGAAACTCTAACCATTAAAGATAGCATTAGCATGGATGGAGACCTCTTAAGTCTCTGTTAAACGCAACATTTCCTGCTGCAATAAACTATGCTTCTGCTATAGATTCGAGATACACTCACAGGCTCTTTCCCACTCAAATTTAAGTGCATGCTATCTTAAACTTTAATGTTTCTCCAGCTCGGAACGAAGACCCGGCCTCATTCGAGCTGGGTATTTTTTTTTGTTTTTCTTTCGGATGTTTCTATCAGTAAATTTTTTTCTACTATTTTCTTTTCATCTTATCGTTTACAATGAAGTTTTGGTTAAATAAAACCCCTTTCTACATTTCATTGAGTATCTAAATACAGACATAATCAAAAAAACAAATTCAAACAAAAAATTCTAAAAAATCTACATGTTTACTATCAATATATTATAGTTTTTTTTCGGAGAATACGGCGAATAATAACGAAACTCTAATTCATCTTCATCAACCACTTTAACTGAATGCATTTTTAATGTTTCTGGAATATATTTCGCCGTTTTGAAAAGATATTCAAGTTTACTTTTCGAACTATCAATATCATTTCTCGTGATTTCAATCAAAATTATTTTCTTAGTTTTTTCCTTTGCAAGTATAATAAAATCTTCAGCTGATGGACACACCCTAGTTTCAATCCTGTTCATTCCTTGAGAAACCTTGAAAGGATCTTTCAGGATCCTGAATCTTAAGGATCTTGGCAAGCTTTTATTCAGGATCCTGTTTCAAATCCTTAGTATTTCCTGTCTCCTGGATTTTTAAGGTGAAACAAGATCCTGTTCAGGATTTCTTCAAGTTCCTGCTCAGATATTTTTCTGAGTTGAGAATACAGAATCCTATCAGGATCTCCTCAAGATTCTATTAAGAATCCTCTCAAAATAATGAGAGAGGATTCTGCCAAGATTGTATCGGGTTCTCGTCAGGATCTAGGACAAATCTTTGTATTAGGATCCTGTCAAGAGTGATAGCCACATCAGACGAGGATCCTGGCAAGAAAATAATAAGATCTGTCAGAATATGAAACAGACTAATCCTGGAAAGCTTCAATCAGGATCTTGTTCAGAGCTTTTTCAAGAATATGCGTTTCTAAAACTTGCAAGACAATGCCAATTCTAATCACGATATTGATAAGAACATGTAAGGATTTAGCAGAGATCTTTACAGGTTACTGCTTAGTCCACTCGACCATGTCCATTTCTTGAGATAGCCTTGAAGGATCTTTCCAAATCATAAATCTCAAGGATCCTGTCAGGTTTGTTTCAGGATTCTATCCAAGTTTGTTCACGTTCTTGGTCAGATTTTTTTCTGAATTCAGTTTGTAGGATCTTACTAAGATTCACCGTTAATCCTATTCAGGAATCAGACAAAAATCATAAAGAAAATTTTATCAAAATTTCATTAGGTTTGAGTCAAGATGTACCCTAGATCCTGATACAAGGATTCTGCCAACTGTCATAGTTATATTAGAGAAGGATCATATCAGAAATAAAAAAAGATTAGTCACAGTCCTCAACTAAGAAATCCTATCAAACATTGATCAGGTCCCTCAGCGGAACTGTTCAAGAACAGGCATTTCGAATACTTAGAAAATAAATGCAAGTATCAGCAGGATCTTGATAAGAAAATACAAGGAACTAGTAAAGATCTTTCCAGGTCTATATTTAGAGACTATTCAAAATTTAATTTTCAGGATGTTATCAGGAACCTAATAAGAATGAATGAATCGGTTCCCTGACACTTTCAGCTAAAGTACGTTCAGATCAGGATCCTTTCAAGATTTGTGAATTTATAGACTGCAAGAGAATTTCAATATCAATGTTGAGAAAAATTTCAATAAAAAAAAAATAGAAGGATTTTTAAGATGTTAATGTGTTTTTGTTCGAAAGACGACAAAACTCTGAGAACTGAACAAACTAGTGGCATTTTTATGCTGATCTTGATGTAATTCTTTCCATACACTAATAGAACGAATCTTACAAATCTTAGAAAAAAATATTTTCTAAATTTCTTTTTAGTCTACATAAGTTGTTTTGAGATTCGGCTACAGCAATAAGTTCTTTTTTAAGCTTATCAGAAAAAGAAAATTGAAATTATTAAATTAGGATATTAATTTGCATTTAGTCATCGTAAAATATTTTTTCTGTAAATATATAGTTTTATTCAGCAGGAAGCCTTTCGATAAAAACTGCTTACAGTTTTGGCTACGTTTGAAAAAAATCAAAATATATTTTTTAAATAGAATTACATTCCAAAACAATTCAAAAAATATTTTTCTTAATGGAATTGGAATAAAAAAAGAATTCAAAGTATATTATTTAAATCGAATTGAAATTAAAAAACAATTCAAAAAATATTTTTAAATAGGATTAAATCCAAAAAAAAAATTAAACATATTTTTTAAATAAAATTGAAATTAAAAACAATAGCAAAATGACAGCGACTAAAAAAATATGTAAAATGGTATCGAATTTTCAGAATTTTTTGAAACAATTTGTATTCAAATAGAATTCAAATAGAAGTTAAGATTAAGGTCAAAATTAACATATTGAACGTTAAAGTGATATGGAATGACATGGCACATCCAGCTGGGTAAGCTGATCGGTATGTATACTGAAGGTCTAGAGATCGATACTCTATGTGTTCATATATTTTCTGTTCTATTTAGGAAATCCTGCAAAGATCCTGCCAAGAAACTGATGACATTCTGGAGGAAACCTGGTCCAATCCTACAAAGATCCTGTCAGGAAGTTTGATAACATCTTGAAGAAAACCGAGCGAAATCCTGAAAGATGTGATCATCAGAAATTTTTTTTTTCAATTTTGAATTATTGAAATCCTGGCAGGATCCTACAATTCCGTGGCTACACGCTTCTTTCAGGATTCAATGGTTTCCTGACACGATCCTTACTTTCAAGCAATGACAATCTTGTTGATATCCTTGTTTTTCCTGATTTGAATCCCGACACGATCCTGCTAAATCGTGGCTACACGCTTCTTTCGGGATTTCGAGATTTCTTGGACGGAGCCTGATGTTCTAATAATAATAAACAGTTAAGAATCCTAATTGCTTCTTGATTAAAATCCTGTCAGGATCCTAATAAACCGTGGCTACACGCATCTTTCAAGATTCAGTCGTTTCCTCAGGAAAAAATGGCGAATCCTTTCAAGATCGTTATCTGATTTGCTGAGGATCTGCTATCGAAGAATCAAAGATTTTCCCTAGGGCACTCCTCCTGCCAGTATAGCTGACCACACAAAATGTTTTACAGTACCCCTCTATTCCGTCAACTATACCCTTTCCATGAAAAGTTGCGAAAAAATGCCAACTCAGATTTATTTTTCGTTCATTAACAATTTGTATTAAATTTCGAAAATGAAAACGTTGTTTAAACTGAGAAGCAGCACCATCCGAAAAACAATTTATTTCTTCAACATTTGGAAGAACTGTTTCGATATGATCTAAAATGATTTTCAAAGCAGAATCAACGACAAATTTATCGTGTGTTACATCTAATGATAATATAGCAAAAGAAAAATTTTCACTTTTTGACCACACAAAAGTAGTAAATATACTCAACGGTTTCGTGTTTCAATGAGCTTTCTGGATCTCGTCTTGTTCTTTCATAGTGAAATTTTCTGCAAAATCGACTTGCAATACTATCTTTTCATCACTAACTTCGGTCTTTAACTTTTCAAAATGCTTTGTCTGTTCTCGTTTAATGTACACATGAAACAAAAAATATTCGACTTTTGACTTCAAATAACAAAACTGCTTCATCAACATTGCCTGAAAACTCTTTTTTTTTCTGCACGACCATTTTCGTTCATCCATTGTGACCAAGTAATCTTAACGTTGCAGTCCGTAACGTTTTCCTCTATTTTTTCTGTAAAAAGTCCTAACAAAGTGAACAACTACTGAGCATACATTCTTGATTATTAGCATTACCAACTCAACTATTGGTAAATGTTTGCAAAGATGAGCAGCATTTGCCAGCAACGTATTTATCAGGAGCTTTTAAAAGTAAACAAATATTTTCATGATACAAACACAAGCAATTCCTATGTGTTAAAGCAGCTTTTGGAATAACAAAAGGAGGTCTTCATTCAACAAACGAAGAACGACTCATATAAACGTTGTCATTCTCTTCTTTAAATAATTCATAAGTTTCACGTAAATTATTAAACAAAATTCGTTTCTGATAAGTTACTCTACTTCCATCATCTTCTTTAATAACAATTGTGTCCTTTTTACCTGGTAATTGATATGAAATATCGTCTCGTAAATAGAAATTATAAACGTCAGCTTTTAGCTTATCAGTAAGTTGAGCTGTAGTACGTTGATGTTTGGATTTAAGAACCAAACGAAATGTTTCAGCAAGATGCTGAGTAATAACTTTTTTCTTTTTATCACATCTTTGAAGTGAAGAATTTGTTTTTTTTAATGCTTTGCTAAATGATTGACGACTTTTGAATGAACTTGCAAGAGGTTTATTAATACCGTTTTTTTTATTTTCTCGATATTTTTGTTGACGAAGTTTGTTTTCGGTACGACATTTAGCTAAGCTTGCTCCTGTTAGTTTTTGCTTTTCTGTATTATAACGAATACAATCTTTTGCTTCCACTGCTTTATATTAGGTTGTCAACAAAGTTCTTTCGTTTTTTTTTTTAATTTTCTAAAACATTCGAGAAAGCTCTAGAAGTTTCCATACTAAGGGTATATAAAGGGAGTATGAATATCTTTCGAATGATAATAAAGCCATCGATATGGACGTTGATCATGGACTGATAATGAATCTTTCTCGTAGAGAAATTTGAGTGCTTTTATTTCATGAATTCCGTTTTGGTCACAAAGCAACGAAAGCAGCCAACAAAATATGCAGCATGATGGGCGAGGATGTGCTCTCTATCCGTACGGCACAACATTGGTTCAAGCGCTTTAAGAACAGTAACTTTGTACTCGACGATTTATCTCGTTCCGGTAGACCACTGGAACTGGATGTGGAACTCTTAAGGCAGCTTATCGAAGAAGATCTTCAACTGACATTACGGTTTTTAGCAGAGCAGCTTGGGTGCTCTTATACTGCGGTGGACAAACATCTGAACGAATTAGGCAAGATATGGAGTTTGGATACCCCACCAGTTATCACCACATCAGCTTCAACACAGGGTTGATGCTTGTATGGATTTAATAGCATCTCATCGCAACTACCAATGGCTCCGCAATCTTATCATTGGCGATGAGAAGTAGATGTTGTACATTAGCTACACGCACAGACGCCAGTGGCTGAGTGCTGGTTAAACAGGCGTAGCAACGCTTAAGACTGATTCACATTCCAAGAAGATGTTGCTGAGCGTTTGGTGGGGAGTCAATGGGATTATTTACTGGGAAATTCTTCCAAAGGGTTGCACCATGACTGCTGATCTCTACTGTCATCAATTGGACCCGGTTGTGGAAAAACTCAAGGGAAAGCAGGATCGAATTTACTATTTGCATGATAACGCGAGACTCCATGTTGCAAAGTCGACGCGCGAAAAATTATTGAAACTCGGATGGATTACTGTTCCTCATCCACGTTATTCTCCTAACCTGACTCCAACAAACTACCATTTGTTTCGTTCTCTTTCTAACCAAATGCGTGAGAAAAGGTTCGGCGATGAGAACGACGTCAAAATGGAACTCGTCAACTTCTTCGGTCAAAAGTCCCACGACTTCTACGAACGCGGGATCCTATCCCTGCCAGTGCGTTGGCGACAAGTCATAGATGGTAGTGGTGCATATATAATGGAAAGCTAGTTGTACTGTTGGAGTTGAAAAATAAAAATAAAATTTTTGAAAAAAACGCAAATTTTACCTTAGCTTTTTTGATTTTCTCTGGACATTTTTTCATTTTTTCAGCATTAGTCATAGCCATGTCAAAATGACGATAGTAAGAAGAAACAAATAGTTACCTTGATGAAACGATATAACTGATATTTGGCAATAGTAATTATATGAAAGAAAAATTTGCAAATCCTTTTCCAGAACTCTTTCTTACTGGATAGATAGAACTGTTTCTTCTTTTCTTTTCCAGCTATTTATATCTGCGAACTGTCAAAACAAAGTGGACAGCGAACGGAAGAAGAAAAAAAGAAAAATGCTGACTGATTTTATTTAATTGTTTTTTTCTCATTACGAACAGACGATGAAAGGAAAGAGAGAAAAAGAAAATAGACTGATCATTTAAACCGTTTATTTTTTCATTTTGAACGACTATTATCTGTTCAAAAAATATGAACAACACGTCAGTCAATGCGAAATTTGATATTGATTCTGAATGTGTTGCTACAATGGTTAAAATTAACCGTAGCTGAAAACATAAGTATTAGATATTTTTTGAAAGATTTATCGGTAGATAAGTAAACTAAAGGTTAAATAAGGTTTAACTTGTAACTAGAGACTGTCTGACGTTAGTACTATCGAAATTATTGTTGATTTCCATGAGTTAGGAATAGCACCAAAAATGAAGCTTTTGTCGCACTGTTACGTTTATTTTCCACGAGATGACACATTTTTCAGAAAAAAAGTAGTACATCAGAATCGCCGTAAAAAGTTACGAATAGTACACTACTTTATTTTCTGGTATTTCGTAAAGGGTTCATCAAACTTTTAAAATGAGGTCTTTTCGTAACGGTGTGACAGCGATATTGATCAAGTATTGTATTAGGAATATCTTAAGGTGAAGGATAGTACAAAATTTGGTTATTTTGCCAAAAGAAAGGTCGTCTATGATAGTTTAGAGAACACCTAAAAGTGCAAGTTCGAAGCTTGTCATTAATGTGTACGATTGGTTTCGAAGTAGGAGAGAAAAAATTGCTATCAACGGCGTGATAATTGAGCTTTAATGTATACATTTTTTAAGACTCACAAACATAATTTCTTGAATAGGAAAATATATTTTCGCCCACTTTCGAATATGCTCTACAACATGACATAAACGTTTATTCAAAGTTTTGAAAAAAATAGTTAATGCCTGAAGTGTCGCGTTACATGGACAAGCCGTTTAACAGAAACTGAAGATGCATTTGAGCTTGTTCATGTATTCTGATAGTGCGCTTTTTTGAGTTTGTTTTTATAAACCGAAGTAGTTTATTGGCCTTTATAGTAGAATGTGTGTCGCGGTTTGATTATGAAGAAAATGTTTGAGACCAGTTATGTTATTGGGGGAAACTTCGGGCGCACTTTCAATAATAATTCTGAAATCTCGATGTTGGCGCAGTATCGTTTATTAGAAGGATCAAAAGCTATAATTGAATGAGAAGAAATACAAAACGAATGAAATTTCATGAATGAATATCTCACATATGTTGATGAAAGAAACTCTGGGTAAATGAATAGTTTACAAAGGCGGATAAAGTAAACGAATAAGGGCCTGTTTGTAGAAGAAAAAAAAACGACAAAAAGTCAACTCTTCCCGATAAAAGAGAAAGAAAGAGCTGGTAAAAGAGTTTTTATTGTCGTTGTGAATGCATCTTTATTATCAAAGCCATTTTGGACGGAGATTTCGAGTGGATTTTGTTTTTCGTGAATCAATCTCCTGACAGAAAAGCTCAGAATCAAGTTTTTCAGCTGATTTACGTTTAGTAGTTGGTCTTTATCTTCAAAGGTCTCAAAAAAAATTCGGAAATCTGTTTCGGTTTTCCATTATACTTTTTTAAAATTTCGAAGCTTCGGAAACATTTTCGGTATCCGATGAAATACTTCGAAAATCGAAAGGGTACTGTTGGGTACCACTTGAGGTAGAGAATCAATTTTGCTAGTATATGGATTTCCTAATATACCTTTACGGTTTCCCTCAATACCATCAAAGTATCCAACAATACATTTAAGGTATCTGAATCGGCATTCTTGAAAGCCAAAGGATTTTCCAGCATCCGAAAACCAAGGGCTAAGATGGGAAACCCCTTCCGAAACCCTTTGGAGCTTTTCAAAGGGTATCCAGAGTCGTTTGGGTTGTCTAGGAAACGGAGGTATTCTTAGAATCCACAGTGTCACCCTCATTAGAACCAACACCTACACTCCACACCCACACCCATCCCCTCCTCGCTCCCCCTCCCCCCAAAAATACAAAAAACCACTACAAAAAAAGACATCTGCCAACAACAGGATACCACCAGCATCATAACTTCGTACGATGCGACAGCAATTGCGAGCTTTTAAGCAGCTGCGATTCAGAGCATAATACAGTCAAATCAATAGCCAATAGTCGTAAAAAGAATCATAGGACATCGTCTTGAATCCAGGCCAGTTCCAAGTTTTCTTCATTCTCAAATATACGATAACTTCCAATTGCGAACAAAAACTTACATATAGATATAATATTAAGATTCCACCTGAAGAAGTCTCGCTAAGACAGAAACAACTGTTGGTGTGGGTCGGCGATTTCTCTAACTCACACCCTACTTGTGATTACAATTCTTTGATATTTGTTAAAAATTTTCATTCTATAATAGTTATTGACTCCTATATTTGGCTAAGATTATAGGTATAGTTAATACTATTATTGAAACTTTGAATGCGCAAATGTCTTTAAATTAATCATTGTATCTATTATTATGTAATTCAAATGTTTTTAACTGTATTATTACGAACTGCATTCCTATGTAGATATAATATTAAGATTCCACCTGAAGAATTTTCGCCAAGAGAGAAACAACCGTTGATGTGGATCGGCGATATCTCTAGCCCACACTCACACCCACACCCATCATTACTGAAAAATTATCTATAAATCTGATTCTTTCAAAATGATTCAGAGGAGATCGATCATATGCGTTGTTTTGTAACAATAATATGCCATTTAAACGCATTCAAATGCGCTTTTTAAAACGCGTTTTAGTCGATACATATCCGTTTCTATCACTAAAAACGTGCATTTCAATGCGTTTTAAAAAATGCGTTGAAACGCAAACTTTTGCAAAGTTGTTTCTTCACGTGTAGAATATAGAAACTTTTCCTCATGTCAGCCATGGAAGCCAATGTTATACTGAGATCATGTATAACCAAGTTACGCAATAAAGCATTTTTTGTTTTGAAAATATGAAAGAGTTTCATTAGATTGGTCAACATCCTCTGACTATGAACACTGAAGATTAATAACCCAGAAAGAGTAAACGTGTCGCTAAAAAAATTATAAATACTAAAAATATCCCGCTTCAACTGCTATGAGCAGTTAAAATGAACCAGATTATACAAAAGAATACTCATGCGCTATACAAACAATTTTCCCTCTTTCCGCATGTCGTACAGAAACTCGATAACAGCCAATTATAGTTTCTCATACGTCTCGAAAAAAACTATAAAATTTAATTATAGATTATCTATGTTCCCTACGATCTTAATATCACTCGAAAAAAACCATTCTGTTTAATCATCTGATGAAAGCTTAGAGGAAGATTCAAAGACATTATGACGTGCTTGACATACAACACACCCTACACCTGACGAGATTCTTTACCAAATTGAAACTCATGATGGTAGCTTCACTTGATATTTTTTGTCTCTATGTAAAATTTAATTTTCAACACACATCCACACCGAAAAAAGAAGTTAGACGAAATATTAGTAGCACCAAGTAGAAGTTATAAACAGTCGAACAATGGAAAAAAAACTCAATACACCAGTGGCAATATTAGCAAGTCTGTAAAAAAGTTTGAAAGTTGTCAGCACCTTCGTTGGCGACGACGAAATCCAACTTGCCATCATTATCTAAGTCATCAACGGAAATCGAGAATGGAAGGGATCCATAACCGATCGAAAAAACTTTTACACTTGCGAAAGAGCCATTCCCATATCCAAGCAACACACCTACATTGTTTGTGCCATAATTGGCGACCATAATGTCTAGCCAGGTGTCGTTGTTGAAATCGGCAACAGCAACCGCGTTCGGTTGAGAGTTATAACCGGTCATAAACGTTTTTTGACTTGAAAAAGAACCATTACCACATCCAAGAAATATACCAACATTGTCATTGCCATAATTTGCGACGACGATATCAAGAATGGTATCATTGTTGAAATCACCAACAGCTACCGAGCATGGAGAAGAATCAGTTGGATATATCATTTGATTTGAAAAAGAACCATTGTCATATCTCAGAAAAATACCAACATTGTTAGTGCCTGAATTCGCCACTGCAATATCTATTTGAGCGTCATTGTTAAAATCCCCAATGGCGAATGACTTAGGGCGAGATCCATTGCCAGTGGTGAGCTTCATTTGGTTTAGAAAACCTTCATTGGGATATCCGAGATATACACTAACACTTTTCTTATTATAATTTGTGACGACAATATCCAATCGGGTATCACTATTAAAATCCCCAACAGCTACAGAAGAAGGACTATAGCCAGTTGGATAGGTCATTTGATTTGCAAAAGCACTATTGTCAAATCCAGGAAGGACACTCATAGTGTTGTCATTCCAATTAGTGACGACAATATCCAATAGGGTGTCGTTATTAAAATTGTCAACAGCTACAGAACTTGGTCCAGAGCCAGTTGAATATTTCGTTTGATTTGCAAACGAGCCATTTCCATATCCGAAAAGTACACTTGTAGTGTTGTCACCATAATTAGCAACGACGATATCCAATCGGTTATCGTTGTTAAAGTCACCAACAGCTACGGACTCTGGTTGAGAGCCAGTTGAATATTTCATTTGATTTGCAAAAGAGCCATCGCCATATCCGAAAAGGATGCTTACAGTATTGTCGCCATAATTAGCGACAACGATATCCAGTCTGGTATCATTGTTGAAATCACCAACAGCTACAGGCCATGGGTTAGAGCCAGTTGGATATTTTCTTTGGTTTGCAAAAGAGCCATCATTGTGTCCAAGAAGAATACTTACAGTATTGTCTTCATAATTAGCAACGACGATATCCAGTTGAGCGTCGTTGTTAAAGTCACCAACAACTACAGACCTTGGCCCAGAGTCACTTGAATATGTCGTTTGATTTGCAAAAGAGCCATCGCCATATCCAAGAAGTACACTTACAGTGTTGTTAACATAATTAGTAACAACAATATCCAGATGGGTGTCGTGATTAAAATCACCAACAGCTACGGACCATGGGGAAGAACCAGTTGAATATGTTTTTTGATTTGCAAAAGAGCCATTCCCATATCCGAGAAGGACACCTATAGTGTCGTCACCCCAATTAGTGACGACGATATCCAGATGGGTGTCGTTATTAAAATCGCCAACAGCTACTGACCTCGGCCAAGTGCCAGTTGAATATATCATTTGAGGACCGAAAGATCCGATTGTAACAAGCACATCTACATGATCGATGTCATCATATGCGACAAAAATTTCAGTACGTCCTTCTTTGTTGAAACTACTAGCATCAATCAACAATGGAGCGTAATCGAAATCTACACTGTAACCTTTTTGATTTTCAAATGTTCCATTCCCATTTCCCAGAAACGCAGCAAGATTTTTAGTACCATAATTGGCCACGGCTATATCTACTTGACCGTCTCTATTGAAATCATGGATAGCGATTGAGTAAGGATGGGAATTTAAGCCTGTTGAGAGCACCATTTGTTTTCCAAAACTGCCATTCCCATATCCATGAAGAACACCTATGTTATTAGTACCATAATTGACAACGGCGATATCCAATAAGCTATCGTTATTGAAATCAAAAATGGCAAAACTTTGCAAATGAGAGCCATCACTCAGTGCAAATGTTACCTTGTCTTTCAGAGCTCCTCTGTTATAATGAAGCAGTATACTCATATTGTCACTATAAAAATTAACGACGACGAGATCCAGTCGAGTGTCGTTGTCAAAGTCACCAACAGCTACAGAGTATGGGCCAGAACCAGTTGAATATGTCATTTGATTTGCAAAAGATCCATCACCATATCCGAGAAGTACACTTACATTGTTATCCCAATTGTTAGCAACGACGATGTCTAGATGGGTATCGTTATTAAAGTGGCCAACAGCTATAGAATATGGACCAGAGCCAGTTGAATATGTCATTTGATTTGCAAAGGATCCATCACCATATCCGAGAAGTACACTAATTGTGTTGTCAATCGAATTAACAACGACGATATCTAGATGAGTGTCATTGTCAAAATAACCAACAGCTAGAGAGTATGGTTGAATGCCAGTTGAATATGTAGTTTGATTTGAAAAAGAGCCATCGCCATATCCGAGAAGTACACTTACTGTGTTGTTACCAAAATTAGCAACGGCGATATCTAGATGGGTATCGTTATTAAAATGGCCAACAACTACAGAGTATGGTTGAGGGTCAGTTGAATATGTAGTTTGATTTGAAAAAGAGCCATCGCCATATCCGAGAAGTACACTTACTGTGTTGTTACCATAATTAGCAACGACGATATCTAGATGGGTATCATTATTAAAATGGCCAACAGCTACAGAGTATGGTTGAAGGCCAGTTGAATATGTCATTTGATTTGCAAAAGATCCATCACCATATCCGAGAAGTACACTTACATTGTTATCCCCATTGTTAGCAACGACGATATCTAGATGGGTATCGTTATTAAAATAGCCAACAGCTACAGAGTATGGTTGAGATCCAGTTGAATATGTCATTTGATTTGCAAAAGAGCCATCGCCATATCCGAGAAGTACACTTACACTGCTGTTATATGTACTAGCGACGACGACATCCAGTCGATTGTCGTTATTAAAATCACCAACAGCTGCATAGGATGGGTAACAGCCAGTTGCATATGTCGTTTGAATAGGAAAAAACTCGTCATAACCAAGCATGATACTTATAGTGCTTGTATCAATGTTGATGAAGGCAATGTCTAAGCGATTATCCATGTTTAAATCACCTATGGCAATAGAGATTGATGAAGAAGATCCAGTTGAATACAGTGTTGGGCTTGCAAAGGTACCGTTGCCGTATCCGACAAGTAAAGCTATATTGTGAGTGCCATTGTTGGTTAGGACTAAATCCATTCTATTGTCATTGTTAAAGTCACCAATGCCAATAGAATATGGAGAAGCAACACCAAGGGAATAAGTCACTTGGCTCATAAAACTTCCGTTTCCGTTGCCCAGAAGTACATCTATACTGTTATTTCCATAGTTGGTGACGGCAATATCTAGTATGTCGTCTTCATTTAAATGACCAGCGGCAAGCGAGTATGGGTGAGAGTCGAGACCGGTTGAGAATGTGCTTTGCTTTGCGAAAGTACCGTTACCACTTCCAAGCATTATACCGATATTGTTTGTGCCGTAGTTAGCAATAGCAAGATCCATCTGTTTGTCGTTGTTGAAATCGCCACTAACAACCGCTAACGGGAAAGAATCATAACCTGTTGAATATGTGCTTTGATTTGAAAAGCTTCCATTTCCATATCCATAAAATACGCTTACACTGTGTGTGCCGTGGTTAGCGGTGACAATATCTAGTGCTGCGTCATTGTTGAGGTCTGCTACATGGATCCAAACCGGACGAGATGATTCAGTTGACAGAACTTTTTTGTTCGCAAAAGATCCATTTTGAAATCTAAGAAGTAAACCGACGCTGTTTGTACCAAAATTTGCGGTGGCTAGATCCAGTCGATGATCGTTATCAAAATCACCAACAGCAATCATGTACGGAGCTGAACCAGAACCAGTTGAAAACGTGATTGGGCTTGCCACCATGCCATTGCCATATCCAAAATATATGGCTATATTGTCAGCAGCATAATTAGCAACAGCAATATCTAGCCAACTATCGTTGTTGAAGTCACCCATGGCGACAGCTCGTGGGTCATACTTATATTCAATTGGATTTCGGATCGTTGCTTGAAAATTAAATTGACATTTTGGGACTATGTAATACAAGAACAAAGAAATAAAGACTGATCATCTACTACGATTCAATTATCCCTAATGGGTTATATCAGATTTTCATAATTCTGATGATTTTCTATCAGAAATTGTCAGATTATTACAAACAAATCTGGATGGAAAGCAGTTCTTTTCAATGGAACCTCGTTGAGTCTCGCGAAACTCATAGTGATTGAGGAAGAACAGAGAAGGAAATTAGCGTGATGAGAAAACGAACTGTGAACGTCCCCTAATTACGAGTTCAAAACAGCTTTCGTTTCTGTCTGGCTGGTTCTTTAAGGATATGTCATTAGCTACAATTATAACATAAGGATGAAAATTTCGGATCGTTTCAAAATCAAATGAATGCCAGTATCTCTGTGTTGCAAAACTCTCGTTATCGCATCATGAATATTACGCACTTTTGATTAACAACAACAATTAGAATATAACAAGCTTTTTTACGAATATTCGAGATTACACAATGAATAGAGCACTGACAGTTTATTAACAGTTACCATCTGATGAGTTGAGTGATGGTTGATTTCTAATGTTGAATATCGTGATCATAATCCACTGTTACAAGATAACCTGTACAGCTGTATGATGGTTTCCGGTAATTGATAAGAGCTTTTGATTTGATTAGAGGGCTGAGACAGCGAATTTCTTTTACTGAAAAGTTATCTTACTGGGTAACGGAAAATGTGTCAGTTTAATTTTTCGCTTCAATGAAGCTTCTTTTATGAAAACAACCATGTGTTTGAAGTTTGATCCAATGACTTTGGAGTTGAGGAATGTAAATCCATTCATAGTTTCTCAAAGTTTATAGTGTCGTTATTTTTGAGATATAGTTCTTTCAAAGAGAAAATCTCAAGACCGCACAATTCGAAAAGCTACTAATAAAGGAAAAGGACGCATAAAAAGACAAATCACCTATTTGGCAAAATATTTAATGTTTTCTGATGCACATTGCTATACCATATATGTACTGCATCCAGAAGAATGTATACTAACAATAAGTTTGTCAAAGCATTTATTCGCTTGCCTTTGAATAGTCTTATTTTAAAGAGCAGCCAATACTGAGCAAAGTATTAGATGAACCGTCCAGAAATACTTAACATAAGCTGAACCTATGGTGAACTAATAGTGTTTCTATCGATATTTTGGATATATTATGAAGGATCAGGCTTCTTAATTGCTTTTGACATGGCTTGACGATGGACTCTTTTCTCAAGGATATGATGCAGTTTTTGACAGAATACTGTACACGCTGTCACAATCTTCTTGTAGATATCATAATTATACAAATGAGAAACCTCCACTAATCATCTTAGATCGATTCCAGAAAACCACATAATAGGTTCATGTTTTGTTAATATGAATACTATATGTTCTTCTGAAATGGCAGCACGTATGGTTGCAATTTTAGACACAATCAAACCTTGAAAAACTTTAGTTAATAAAATAACTAGAAGAAAACTGCATCAACGGTTAGTCCGTGATTCGCTGTCTCATTCTGCATCGAAATAACGGGTGAGACAGGTTAAATGGCTACACTTTGTCTTTCAATTTTCACTCACTTAATACGTTGTATTAAAAAGACAAAATATACCACAAGATGCAAAGCGAAAAACTCTACAATTTATATAGACTAGCTTTTTTTAACCGTTGCACTTTTTCCTTTCAAAATGCACAGAATTTCGAGCGATCTAAGTTCGATCATGCGACAACGAGGTTTTCTTTGTATAAGATGAATTCGTTTTTTTCTTATTTCATCTTTTTTATCATTTGATAGTTTTTACTTAAAGAAAGCAAAATATGCCACTAGATGCAGTGTGAAAAGCTCTACAATTGACACACTAAAGCTCATTGTATTTGTTTTCGAAAGCAACAAAATTCTGTACGACCAATTTTCGCACGGTTCAATTTCGGTCGCTCAAAATTTTGCCCATTTTAAAAACAAGTATAATCTGGTATTAAATGACTGAAAATTGAAATGCAAAGTGTAGCCATTTAATCTGCCTCACCCGTTATAGACTTGTGCTAAAAATTCTGATGTGGGCAAATTCGTTTTCTTATGTGTTCTTCCTCTGGATTTCATGATTTCGAACACTTTGGATCAAAGTTCATAAAATAGGTTTTGTTTGAGACAAAAATCAAACTCACCAATATGCCCTCACTAGCTAGTACTACTTACCACTTACCGATAACCATAGTAATGCGAATGTCATACTCATAAATACCTGTTGTTTGAGTTCATAGTTTTCTCGTTAGTAGAATTCATAGAGTAGAAAAAAAAAACTCCAAAAAAATTCTTACTATTGGCTATATATCAATAAAGAAAGATTTTCACAAGCTAACTTCTTAAAAACTCATCTTACACGTCGCTACTTATCGTACAGAAAAAGAAGATCTTTAGCTAACGTTTTTCTTAATAAAGAAATTAAAATGATACGAAGATTGAGAATACAATAAAAGATCAAGAAAATAATTAATCAGTCTCATGATGATAATAATTTGAAAAAAAAGAGTGAATCAAGTTCTTGTTGCACAAAGAACAATGAATCATCGGCCCATCAATGCAACTCTTTTCATGACATCTGTCTGTTTGAAATGTGAAGCAAGTACCTTTAACGTTCTAAAATGGACGTGGATCAATTTTCAAAAAAGATTTTTGAGTCAAGCGTACTTTATCATAGATTGGAAAGGTAGAATATAGGTATAGGTGTGTGAGTTCATAGAAGAGAAACATTCACCTAAATGGGGGTACATCGCTGCTAATATAAATGGATTTTCGGAATCTTGCTCTTCCTATTCATCATCATGATCCAATATAGTTTCCGTTTCAAATATATGAGGTATACTTTTCAAAATCTCGTATAAACATTTATAGAGATTAAATACAATGTGTTCTTTGCCACAATTGATTGAACATAGTGAATTAAAAAACAATTTGTCTGATATCAGGTTTAATAATAATTTCAAGACATCATGATTATTACACATTTTTATTATCGATACATGTGAGCGATGTTAAAATAGAAATGTGCTTAGTATTTGTCCACTTTGTGAAAATGATCTACTACTAATCACTTATTAGTCAGATAAAAGACTTATTTTATGACATATGCACAAAATTGTATAGCTTCAAAATGCTGTAACAGAAATAAACCACTAGAAAATATGAGAGAACATACATGAACCAAACAGAAAGATTGAAAAAGAAAACGAATGTACCTAAACATACTAGAACAGGGTACATATACTCATTCAGACACGATAGTAGAACGAAAGAAGATGTAAATGGAACATAAATAGTGCTTGCTCTCCTCAACAGGCAACATAAAGTGAGAAAATGTAAAGAAGATGTGTTCCGTGGAGAAGACATATTTTCTTTCATCACGTTCCATGAGAAAATCACTTGCATTTTTTCTTATTCTTTCGCATTTCTCTTATATGCAAGAACATATCCATGACATAGAGAGAAAAATCCAGGATAATCTACTGTTTTCATTCAGAGAGGCGAAAAATTATTACCAAAAGTTATACGAGAAGTGATTCAAGAACATTGAATAGGATAAAGTTGATTTTTCTGCAATAAGTAACAATGCGTAGCATCAGTTTGTAAAATTACAGATCGTGAAATTCTTTATTTTATTGAAATATGAGGAAAAAATATAGACAATGGAATAATCTTCGTCTTAGAGATACTTATTATCCTTGTTTCTTAAAAGAGTTTGACTTATGGACAAAGTATCAGATCTACTGGTGATAGCATAGGCGGCGGACCCATTAGGCTTGGGGAGGCTCAAGCCTCCCCTAAAAAACGGAGAAGAAGGCTTAGAGAGGCTCATTTAATTTGAAAAAAGTTGGAGATCTCATCTTTAATGAAGACACAATTGGGAAAATTTTGATCGATTGTTCTTGAATACTTAGTCTATTGC